TCCTCTTGGAGAAAATGTTCACCCTTAGGCCTGTGATGAGAACAAGCTTATCGGCACATCTGGCCTGTTTGATATTGTAGCTAATTCAGTTGATCCAGGATATCGGCTTCAACAACATGGCTCCATAGTTTGGACCACAGGCCCACAACTCCCCGCAAAAAGATGTGCCTCCTGTTCTCCATTTCCAATGCACTTGCACACAGTTTCCACGTGTGTTCCCCGTGTGCGCAGAAACGCTCTAGAGCTTTGTCAAAGTCGATCCTCTGAGATCTGAAACGCCAGGAGAATCCACTGTTAAGATGTTACAACTCTGACCCTCTTGTCCGTTGCGTCTGTACTGTACTACATAAAGGGAGGCGAGGCAGACATTAGGCGATATAAAATCATAGATTACAAACCTTGGACACTGAATACATTAAAAGCAAATCACAACTATTTACCTTCTCCTTTACAGACAGGAAGAATTTATTGCAAGTCCTCACTGACCAATGGCAGTGTGCAGTCCCGCCCCAGAGGAAACGAAATCCTTATTTTCCTCATCAAAATCAAAATGCCAGAAAGATTTCTTGAATTATTCATTAAAATGCAAACCGGCCATCCTTGTGGATGAACTTAACTCTTCAGAGGGCTAGGTCTCGACAGCATTTTGCCGAGCAAAAACAGAACTTGAGGTCGACCTCAGAATGTGACAGTTTTGCCAGACACGGATCGGTGGAGAAAATTCTGTCACCTTGAAGAACAGTCTGAAAGAGCTTTGATAAAAAAGGGGGATTTTGCAACAACTTCGGAAAGAAACGGAGAGCAGAGATCAAACGCACAACCGCAAGCCTGGACGTACAGAAAGATTTTCAGAACCCTGAGAAAACCTGAAGACTCATCAAATGGCTGTAGACTGTGGAGAGTCTCCAAAAGTCGAGATTTGTAATGCGATTTTGTTAACATTTTTGTTTTTTGACAGTCCTCATGATTAATCTGATTCTTCTTTTTACGTACCTGGCTGAAAGCGTATCACCCCCAGCACATTGTCTCCGTTTGTTTTAAATGAACAAGTCAATATTGAAATTCACCCCTTTCCCATTTTAGGGATTCTGAATTGTGCGCACATCAATGGTATCTACAATGTCTCCATAACAGTTTCCGCCTATAATCAATTCATAAAAATGTATGTAGTGTACTCTGTTCTCTTATTTTACAATATTCTATATTTAAAAACTCCTTGAAGAATGGAGATATCCCTTTAAAAATAAAAAAAGCTGGTTCGTCTAGGATCAAGGGTTTCAGATAAATGGATTTGCATGGCATGAAAATGTGGCGTCCTATTTCAAAACGTGTTGCCGACAGAAGCCGCAAAAAGAGGTTTAGCTGTAGTTTTGTCACTTGAACCGGCGAGGTTGCGTTCGAACTGTAGGGGGAGCCGCTGAGCTTCGGTACGGGTAAACACGGGCCCCTAACCTTTTCGTCAGTGCAATGCACTCGCTGCCAAACCTGCTAAAAATTATAATCGAATTTGGATGCTCTGTCATTGCCGAGGTAAAAAAAAAACAGATGGAAAATATGTGGACACGAGTCCACATAACCATGTGCGTTAGTCTTTTGAGAGCGTAGCCGTTTGGTTTGTGTTGACTATAGCGAAGCACTTTCAGCAGGAAACTTGCACCGCAATCTGAGACAAATCGCTGATAAAGACTGATATATTATAGTCCCCATAAACTCACTGTAATCTCCTTTTTTTTTTTTGGTGTTACAGTGCAATACAGCACTCATCAAATTACAGTGTACAGGGATATAATCATATGTTAGCTCATGATACACCGAGTCCCTGCAACGCCACCTGCTCTAATGGAAACTTTCTACGGCACCGATACGCCTCTTCATTTTACTCTGCATCTCTTCCTGCCGACACTCAGGAGCCCTAACAGCAGTATGGACACCAGCCTGTTAGATAGCCAGTAATGTTCTGTTACCAGTGGTCACAGCGCACAGCCCGCATCGGATCGGGCTCAGCTAACAGCGCCGTGCCGCAGCCTGCACTGGTGTAACTTTTTAACACTGGAGCCCCGAGAAGACAAAAAAACACTGTAGCGGTCGATCGCTCCAATAATGAAGCCTGGATGTGCAGCGTAAACAACATCAAAAAAAGCCTGCTGGGTGGATTTACAAATCGGGACTAGTTTTTGGTCACGGTTTTGAATGCAGGTAAAACAATCTACAGCGGACACAGCACCGAGCCCAGCCGATTATCCCGTTGTTTCTGAAGTCAGATTTGAACGCAGGATAATCCTCTGTCCACAGGGAAGCACAAAAGCTCCTACAGCTTCAAACGCTCCCGAAAGCCAGCCAGCCAGCCTGTGGCATCGAGGCCCAATCCATTTCCTTTGTTTAGGATCCTTTTCTCCTTTTTAGTTGTCAAACAGGAATGAAAGAAAACAGCGAACACAAAAACATCATTCCAGTAACATCAAACCCTCATTCAAGGGGTCGAGGACTATAGAAGACTTCTCAGTCTCCAAGAAACAGGATCAGTTTTACTGAATTGAGACTCCAGGCAGAATTTGAACACTTCCCTTGAAAATATTCCAGAAATACATTTACCTGAAGCTCTCGGTAATAAAGTTCAAACTGTGAAGACAGAGTTAGCCTGATCTTGAGCAACAGGATATGAACATACCCCAATATTCCCATAATTCACATTTCAAGGTTTACATACATTATCATGAATATAAAGTCTATTTTTTGATAAACTGAACACTAAATAAATATGTCCTTAATTAATGGAATAAGACTTAATTCTTCTACTTAATTTGATATTACAGTAACATTCATCCTACATCGCCTGTGGTAGTTCTGTTTCCAAGGGGATGTGTTTATGTTTAGTCACAATGTTTATACAGTATTAGCATCTTAGATCTCGTTAAATTTGTCTCAAGAGAAAAACCTTTGAAAAGATGCCAAAGGTTTCAATTACTCTATAATGCTGCTTAACAGCTACAACTAAGGGTACTAATTAACATTGTTTAAATGTACAAAAGTAACCCTAAAACATCTACAGCATTTAAAAGCATGTAATCGTGGTGTAACACTAACAAGTGCTTTAACTGCACCTGCTTGGTGTTAATATATAATACTGAACACGTTTTGGCTTTTGTCTATTAAATAAATACAATGTCTAACTGATTATGAAAGCCTTCCTATGACTCTAAAGGGATTCAGAGCAGTGAGAGACAGAAATATCAATACCGCTCACTGATAAAATTGCTCACTTACGATTGTAATCATCTTACTTGTGATGCCCCCCTTTTCTGCTAAAGCAGCAACATCTTCCGAAGTAAAACACACATAGTACTGTGCTTTGTCTCTGACCATGTAAACAGTCCTGATAGTCACAGTCCAGACTCTGTAAAAAGGAGCCATTGGAAATCATTGAAATCCAGAAAGACTAATTATGTCTCTAAATCCCATTGATTGCTCGTTATTTCTACTTTCTTTCTTAGGCTTCTGTCTGATAAATTATTGCCTTCGTTTTCCTGGTTAACTAAAAGAACAAAGAGCTAAAGTTGGCCTCTTGAAGGTGAGGAGGTAACAGGACATGATTATCCCCTTTTGAGACTGAGCATCCAGTTAGGAACCTTTTACCAATGACCAATCAGCAGCTGCCTTTCAAAGGGGCGGAACCTGTACGTCAGCTACAGCAGTTCCAGGTGTATACAATCGCCCAGGGTTCCCAAATTCATTTGATTTTTATCAAACACATTTTGGTTTTGGTAGATCTGCATGCTTCTTTTTATTTAACGTTTAAATGGCAGAAAAGGGGACTGTTGACCTGCAGAATATGGCATTTAAATCCACTGCAGTGTGATTTTGATTAAAATAGTCAAGTCAAGAAAAGCTGACCTGTAATGTATCTAATACATTTCAAATAACCACTTTTTTACTACCCCTGATTAACCTACAAATGATATGAGAAACTTGGATTCACACAGCAAATACGACCTATTATAACTTTTAAAATGATAATATTGAAAAAGTCGACCTGGGAAGTTCTATGCACCAGGAACTATTATATCTGACAGCATCCCAGAAAAAAGGCAATCGGCACCTTCCATGTCCACAGGCATGGGAATATTTTCTCTGTGTGCTGTACCATGCATGTCTGTAAAGTACAGAATATCACATCTCCTTCTGAAATCTCACCCAAAGCATGAGAGCACACGTGTGTCACACACGCATTTCACAGGGATGTGATAATGTGTTACAGAATAGCCAAGCTGTGCGTTGAGTTTTCTGGGCAGGTCTAAGACTCCAACTAGAAAGCAGGGCAGGTCTACCACAGCTATGGCGACTGAGATGGTGTGGCGCCCACTGTGTGCACATCCCATCACACGGAGATCATCATCTCAAATGAGGCTTTTGAAGGAAAAAAAAAACGATATAAGATTTAAACTGATGGGGTCACATTTTTACTCTGAGTACGATATGGTCATTTTAGCCCCCGTCTGTCGTTATCTAATGCCAAGCTACTGTCTCCAGAGTCACCAACACCGGCCTGGGAACAGGAGCGATCACATGACACCGGCTACCTTGGGCATCAGCCTGGAACCTGCTCAATGGAAGTGTTAGACCTCAAGCTCCTCACCAGGTATTCCCAACCACTGGAGCTCCTGTCGCATTCCACTGCATTGTCCCACGTTAACAAGGCCAGCTTGGGGATATGTCGTTGATGGATGAACCTATTCCCTTAGTAAGGAACTGACAGGAATAGAAACCCACACTGGATCTGATCAGACAATCCAGGGGCTAGACATCCCAGATATCCAGGGTTAAAAATATTTAAGAAGAGTCAAGTAAAGGGATCTGGTTTTTAGGAGCCACAATTTACAAACACGGTACACTTTGTGATAGTAGGAATCTAATATCTTTGAACCGTTTTCTCAAAAGGCTTCTACATTAGAGTCTCCAGCTCACGCAACAATTGCAAACCGTCGTCTGGAAAAAACAAACAAACAAACAAACCGAAAGGTTACATGGCTCCAAAACTCATTGTTTTCTTAAATATTTTTAACAAGGTAATGCATTGCATGTGTATTATATATAAATATAAACATATTTATAGGAGGGAGATTTTATGACTGTTTGCTCCTAGCTTGCCATGGCTGCATAGCTCCATTTCACCCCTACTGAAGGTTGTGTCCAACGCCACAGTGCTGGGCTTAGTAAGGGGTGAACATGATAGGGGTGTGTGTGGCCCTCAGGGGCCCCGGTGCCGGCCGGAACAGGGCAGGTCCCAGCAGGGGGGTCTGGATGAGGGTGGCGGTGCCCGCCGGGTGGCGCAGCGCCAGGGGATTGGCAGCTACGGTGCACAGGGCTGCAGGGCTGAGTGGGCTCGGCAGGAATCCTGTGGTCAGGGTCTTGGTCAGCTGCTTCTGCAGGGCCAGTTTGGTCTGGAAGAGACAGCAGGACAGGGTCACACGAAGGGTCTTCCTCTGGGGAGGATCACTGGCAAGGCAGGGCAGCTTTGCACTTTCCGAACGGGTTTTTACAAGCCTACCAAAATGTCCTGGGAACAAAGACACGCGTTTACCAACTTCCACCGAAAAATCTAGAAAATAACACAATAGAAAAAAAGATGTTGCGTTTGTCCGTCCATCAAATGAAGCCGTTTTTAGGAACAGACTGAGAAAAAAAATGCTTGTTTTCACTGGTGCAACAGGCACATAAATCTAGTCATCTCTGAGAACCCCCAATTGGGTTATTTTAGTTAAGGGCAGTACCTAAAAAGCACAGGCTAAGAGAAACAGTTTCAGGGTGGCCTTCCAGCCCATTAGATGTTAAGGCTGACAATGAGAGATGAAATCAGAGGTCATTTAACGGAGAATCTAAAACCAGCCTCCCATTCCTGCTTTAAATATCCCAGACAAGAATTTCTGCTACACAGGGACCGTCCATTTCCCCAACAGCTGGATAAATAAGAAACTTGCATGTGTCTGGCCCCTCTTCGCCCAACTCTTCTGTTTTTGCGCAGTTTATTTTTAAGCTGTCCAACAGAGGCAGAATTCCAAGACCAGCGTCACACTGCTTGGTTTATCCCTTTCCTCCACGCTGCTCAGACTTGGACGTGGAAAAACAACAACCAGTTGTCATGAATGTGACAGGAAGGTTTCTCCGTAAAGATGGCTTAAAATGGATTTTTTTTAAAAAATAAAGATTTTTAAAGAATAATAATAGCACGGGTTGATTAGGAATTTCTTGGGGAGGTCCAAAGCAGTGCATGTTCATGATGATGGTTGGTTGTGCTCATTTATAATAAGAATACAGTTTATGCCATTGCAAAAAATTAATTAAATATATACATGCTATAGACTCAAAGGCAATCATGCCTGCAGGAGAGTTTAATTTGAGTAATTTGAATTTTCTCTTTGTATCTCATTCTAAAAAAGCCCTTATGTTTTTTCAGGTTGGCACAACAAACAGTGCTCCTTCCCCTGCACCTCAACCCACCTGCATCCACTTGTACCCACCTGGGTGGAGAGTGAGGTCAGGTTGCAACGCCCAAACACTTTCTTCATGGCTGATACTGCGCCTCCAGCATATCCACTCCACCTCACGTTCTGCCAGGACACAGGAGGACACGGTCAGATCAGAGGTGCCCCCATCACCCTCAAGGCCCAGAGGGGGCAGGGCAGGGCAGGGCAGAGCAAAGAAAGGTTACAAACCAGAGGAGACTTTCAGCTACTTTAGCTGCCAACAACGAAGTCATCCAAGGATCTCTGGGCCCTTTCATGAAGGATGCTCAGAAATCACCTTTAATGACGCGACTCAGTACCGTGTTTCAGACACCCACAACCCCCAGTCCTACTGTCAGACTTCACTGCACCCTCGTCATGTTGACCTGCACTCTCTCTGCATTTCACTGTTGCTCTAGAAGCCATCCTATGTCCATACTTCCTAGTACTGTGAATAATTGTTTTCCTCTCACAGTCCTCCCGTTTCAGAAGTGAAAAGATTCGGTACTTTTCATCTGCTTCTGTTTAAGGCACAGCTTTGAGCCTACTGAACATCTTGGTCCTGATGAACTGCAACACACATGAATACGCCCACATACAGTGCAACTACCTGTTTTTTCCCCACAGGCCTTCCTGGCCCCCGATGAGACAGGTCACCTCCATGAGCAACTGTATCATAAACAGCATGAGAAAGATGGCAAAGCTACTAGGATGCTGATCTGTGCGTGCTTGCATCACTTGGTGCTTGCTCACATCTTCCATATCACTGACTGCAGAGCTGCTTTGCTGGGGTGGAGGTCTCTGCTGCCTCACACACCTCTGCAGACAGCCATACAGATGGCTGAACTCAGGTCCTGCAAGCAGGCTGGCCCT